GAAGAATCATCGATGAAGGTAATAAAATACCATGCTCCGTGACGTGCCCTAACACTCATTGGTCCGCAAATATCAGAGTGTACCAATTCAAGAGGTGGTTAGCCCTGGTTGCCTTTCCGAAAGGCTTCCTTGTACTCTTGCCAGCAAGGCAATGTTCACACAGAGACATTTCCTTTTTGGACACGTTTCCTAGCAAACCCTCTTTTGCTAGTTTGGTCATGCGTTCTTGACCAATATGTCCTAATCTAGCGTGCCATATATCGTAATTGACATCGGAAGAAAGCGCATAGCAAGAACTAGAAAAATTATCATTGAAATTTTCTAAAACAAAGAAACCATCCGAAACATAACCAGAAACTGAAAAATTGGTCCCATACGAAATGTCTACTGTGAAATCATGAAAAAAGACATTGAAATGAAATCTAACTAAGGAAATAACAGACACAAGATTTCGTCGGATTTCCGGAGCGTAGAGGACATTTTGCAGGACTAGGGTCTTTCCTCCATGCAGGGTCAGCTCACAAGTACCGATCCCTTTGACTTCTACTCTCGCGTTGTTCCCAACATAAAGCCATCTGCTTCTTGCTGGTAACCGACGAAATTCTGTGAAGTTCCCACGATCCTTGCTCACGTGGTCTGTGGCCCCTGAGTCTATAACCCAAACAGGATTAGTTTCAGCAATAAACGCAGTGCTAGAAACATAAGAGAAATGTATTGAATCTGAATCCAATACCTTTTTCTGCTCAGGGCAGTCCTTGGCATAATGTCCCTTTTGTTGGCAAGCATAGCATTTGATGGTTGCTATGTTCCGCTTCTTTGCAGGTTTCTTGCCTTTCTTGAAGGAACTCTTTCCCTTCTTCACTTTAGGGCCGCCTTTCTTATTTTGAGAGCCTTTGCTTCTCTTGGACTGGTTTTGGGAGGTTGTCCCTCCCTTTCCTTCAGTTAAATATGCCTTACTGACAGGCTTCACAGTTTCCATCCGATCATCCTCCAGTTGGAGGTGGCGAGCTACATCAGCAAAGGTTTTTATACTCTCATTATGAGTAATGGTGTGCTTCATGGTATCCCAACTTGCTGGGAGAGATCTCATGACAGCTTGAATCTGTTGCTCATCAGATAAAGCGCCTCCGGCTTCCTTAAGCTCCCTGATTAAGTTCTGCATTGCCCTTAGGTGATGCCTTATGGGAGTGTTAGGACCCAGCTTGAAATTATCAAGTTTGACGGTGAGTCTCCTAAGCCTCGCAGCAGAGGTACCGTCAAATTCGGATTTCAGTGCTGCCCACATGGCAGAGGCTGAAGGGTGTGTTTCGAATTGCACCAACACATCGTCAGTCATGGCACTTAGCATGGTTATTCTGGCGATAGTGTCCCTTCTTTTCCAGGCCGCGTAGCCGTCCTGGTCCCTTCGCGATGCATTTGCCTCAGGCTCTGGAAGAAAAGTAGTCAACACATCAGTGACTTCTTGTTCTTCGAGGACATACGATATCTTACGACGCCACATGCTGTAATTGTCTCCGTTCAGCTTGTCACCTCCTACGAGGTCAGCTATAATGGACTTGATTCCTCTTTGAGACATCGTGCTATCACATAGACAACAATGCATTTTAGTATGGTATGCAATATACACACTTTTGTTCAAGTAGGTCATAGGTCGCCTGGGTAAGAGTCTCACCATTTTCATGATCAGGAGACAACTAGGTTGGCTCCCATCCCATTACTCCTGGTTAGTCTCTTACCTTTCTTACCTTTGACTTTCCTTGAACATATCCCCAATTTGGAGTTTTCCTCATGAAACTCCCACTCAAATAAAGCATTTGAAAATAAAAAAAACTTTATTTATTGAAGCATGAATGTTTACAAAAAATTGGATAATTCCAAAAATGAAGTCTCAAGAGTAAACATTAAATGAAAAGAAATCCAAATGTGAACAAAAACTCATTCGTTCATGATATATTTTATCATTGGTTCTCTCAAACTCTCTTTAACACCTTTCCAGCATCTACAGAGACATTGTTTAAAAATGCTTCACTAAATATGTGTCCCCTCCTTGCCAGTTCCTCTCTGTATGGATTGCAATATTTGAGAAAAAGAGTGCGTCTTGCTCATTGACAATTTGTTTAGCATAATAATTCAATTTTGAAAATAGGCACTTTTGATGCTTGTATTCATCAGCATGCTTTTCTGCTATCTTTTCTATTAAATTTATGTCCTTGGGTCTGCAGACTTCTTCCTCTTGTTGGTCAGGAACACATTTCCTTTTACCACTGCTCCCCTCAGGTACATTAGAGTTTACTTGTGATTGAGGCGCTTTTCTTTTATTTGTACTTTCGGCAGCATAATTATTTGAAGATTTCGGAGCATCAGAAAGTGGAGAATAAGTTGGATATTTTCCAAAAGAGGAGTTAGAATTTGAGTTTGAGTTGGCCATTTCCTAAACCCAAAAAGAACAAGTTAAGAAAAATATAAAAATAAATATTCAAAACATTTATTTGCTATTTTTCATACCCAAAAAGTCATAAAAAAACAGCACATAATATATTAATTCATAGCTCATGATTTTAGAAATATTTCAGGTCAAACAGGGCTCAAAAATAGTCCCTCACGCGCCCTCACGCGCCCCAACAAGCAAAATTTTTTTTTTTTTTTTAAAGAGCTAGGTTCGCCCACTCTCGGGACCGGCGCGTGTCATACACGCGCCGCCTTTCCGGCCTCTCGCCGTCACCTGACCTGTCCTATCTGATTCCTCACGTCTCAAGGAGTCTATATATGTGCTTTTTATGACCAAAGGGTCCCTAGGTGGACCCCACGCGCCCACATGGCGCGTCCAAAAAAATTTTCAGAAAAAAAATATTTTTTTTTTTAAAATTTCAAAAAAAAATTATTTTTATTATTTTTTTTTAAAAAAATTTTTTTTTTAAATGTCGGTCGGGTCGGTCTACCGACCCGACTTCCAGGGGGATCCGGGTCCACGGACCCGAAACGCAGCGTTTCACTTAAAGTGAAACGCTGCGTCCTGGCCAGCCCAAAACGACGCCGTTTTGGGCTGGTCAGGTCGTCCCTGACCTCCAGCCGGGTCGCCCCAGATCCGGCTGGAGCTCCGGCGGGTCCGTCGCGACCCGCCATTTTCGAACCGCCGTATCTTCCTCCTCCGAGCTCCGTTTTATGCATTTTAGGTGTCTATGGACTCGTATTTTCGTGCTCTACAACTCTATGGGTTTATTTTCTTTAAAAAACATCAATTTTAAAGACCCAAAAACAAGGTTCGAACGGCCGACGTTGGAAGCTCCAGAAAATAGACTTCGATCACGTTTTTAAATCTTACGGAGTAACAAGTAATGTTTTCGAACTTCACTTATATAAACGGAGTGTGTATTTGAGTTTAAAACACAAGCATATTCAGTTCGAATGGCATACGGCATATTCACGGTGCAGCGGAAAAAATGAGCGTGTAATATATATATGCACACATATATTGAGAGCCTCAAGAACATCTCGGCTCTGATGCCAATGTAAGAAAAATTGGAGAATGGATCGAAAACATACCGGGTCGGATCTCGGGTCGGGTCGGTCGGATCTCCTTAGCTCACGCTTAAGCTAGACTATAAAAGTCTGAGCTTTTAAGTGCACAGCAGAGCACCACTTTTGCAAGAAAGAAAATTAAGAGAGAGAGAGATAGTAGGAAAGCTCTACTACTGGAGTGATTTGAACTGATGGGGGGAAGCCTCTATTTATAGCTTTTGTCAGGGATATTTTGGGTAGCATAAAAATATCCACTGAGCCCATCAGATAAAATCTGAGATAAGATATAATATATCCTTATCTCATAATATCATGATATTTTGAATTCAAATCCAGAATCAATCTTAATTAATTCTAAATATATATACTTAATATATATTTAATCTATACAATATAAATTAATTAATTTAATATAAATTAATTAGATTTATATCGTAACCGATTGGATATGATTCAGGATGTTTGACCAAGTCAAACATATCATGATATCGCTTGGATATTTGACTGATATATTCTCTTTATACCGGGTCAAATAATCCGGCCCATCAAGGGCGGATCCAAGCCCAAAAATCTAACACTTGCTATAGTGGTGGTTCGTTTGCTCCGTAAGCAAAAGGTCGCGAGTTCGGTCCTCGTTGGCCTGTGAACTAATTGATTATCATCTGCTGCTTTTTTTTTTTAACGTTTTTAACATCATCAGATAACAAAGAAAAGAAATATCCTGTAAGATATGGAGAAAATAGCAAATAAAGACCTCCTAATATGTGAAATTACGATTTGGGATCCTTAATTTGGAAAATGGCAAATACAGACTCAGTTCCATATTGCAAATATGAAACCTTGGTGAAATGTCTGAAATGCTCCTCAACCAAGTGATAAGTTGACTATAGGAAATGATAAGTTTATTTTAGCGAATAACAACTTCAGTAGACCAAATCACAACTTGACTAAAGCTATGCCAAATGACAAGTTAACTATGGGAAATTACAACTTCACTTTACCGAATGACAACTTTAGTAGACCAATTCATAACTTAACTGAGGGACATTTCAGGCATTTAAGTAAGTTTTCATATTTGCAATATGGAACCGGTCTTTATTTGCTATTTTTCAAATTAAAAGTCCCAAATCATAATTTCACATATAAGGGACCTTTATTTGCCATTTTTCCTAAAATATATAGCCAAAACTAAATCATAAAGACATTAACGCATTAATTAGATCAGAAAATCCAAACCCAAGCCAAAAAGAAAATTACAAATAAAAAAAAGATAAAGATAAAAAAGAAGATGCAGGCTCTCTTCCCCTACATAAGCCTAATCCCAATCAGTCTTCTAGAATTTTCCTTCAACTGTATCGGCCAACTATAACCGTCAGAGTCACCGCCACCGTCCCCATTATCATTGTTGCAGATGCAAATCGAAATATATATATATATATATATATATATTTATATATCTCTCGATAATCCTCCTCCTACCTTCACTTGTATTGACCATTTGGTTCAGCTTGCGAGGAAGACCCTCCTCCTCCGTTATTATTCTGCCCATGCTCTCTCATGTACCCTCCCATGGTTCCAAAGTAGCCATTGGGATGCCCCATGTGAAACGGCGGCACAAAAGCACCTAACCCTGGTGCCCCATATGGTGGCTCCACCGTCCGCTTGCCAAGCGGCTCGCCACGCATGGAGGCCCGGTCACCCTCCATCTCGCGGTACCGATGAAGGTACATGGTGAGGGGCTCAATGTAGTCATCGAAACCAAGCTTGCTCATGGCCCACAGCACGTCCTCGGCGGTGATCGTCTTCCGCTGCTCCCTCTGGCACCGCTCGTTGGCCTCGCCGGTGATGAAGCTTATGTACTCCGACACGCATTCCTGGATGGTCTCCTTGGCGTCGTCGGAGATCTTGGCGTGTGGAGGGAGGATCTTGCGCATGATTCTGATGACGTTGGCGATCGGCATGAACCTGTCTTGCTCCCTCACGATGCATTCACTGTCGTCTACGGCGGTGGAAGAGGACGATGAGTGGTTGTTGTTGTTGTTATTGTTCATCGTCTCCGGTAATGACGCCGACGAAGATAGCTTCAACCCTATGTCATGGCATTAATTAACAAATGATATGAAGCCACCATGTATATACTTCAATATATTGCAGTTATATTAAAACAAATGAAAAATAATGTAAAATTTATTTTGTAGTATAATTTATATTATAACATGAGTTCTACGTTTAAAAGGGAGGAGTATAAAATTTGAATTTTCTTAATCCAAGCTACTCTGAACAACATATAACTCCTTTCTCTGATGTGAATGTTCGTGTGAATGTATATGGACCAGAAGGTAGTGGCTTTAAGTTGCCGCGCCACATTAAGTGGTTTTGTTTACTTTCATGAGACCATACGGAAAAAAGATTAAAAAAAATCCAAAAGATCCAAATGATCAACACCGAAAGAATTTGATTTGTGGATGATAATAATCATATTCCATCCCACCGTCATTATTCCAAGTACTTTTGCGGTGGAAAAAAAAGTTCTATACATGAGGTATGCAGGAAGATTATTTTTCTTCTCTCACAATTGTTCTTAACATCACTCTTCATATATTAGAGTAACATGATTAAGTTTAACTCAATATTGTAAATTTTGATCTATTATATAATTTGATACATATTCAACATCTATAATTAAGAGTGCGTTTTGTTTAGTGATGACAAAATTGATTTTTATTCTAACTGATTTTTGCAAACATAAGTTAGGGTAATATCCAATACTTAGTGTAATGTAATTTATAGTTGAATTGACTTTTATAAAGAAGTCAATTTGAGAAGTTAAAACTTACTTAGGTAATTGATAAAAAAACCAGTTTAGATGTAAAATGAATTGAAAAATATGAGTTTATAATATATATTATATAATCTGATAAGTTTTTTAAAAAAATTAAAACTGAAATTACAAAAATAAAAATAATTAATGTATTATTAAAGAAATTAAGTAATAAAGAACCTTAATTAATTGTTTTTACTTAAGATAAAATCATAAAAAAATAATTTTTATTAGTAAAAATTAATAATTATTTTACTAAAAATATATAAAATAAATAACATAATAAAATAAACAGTGTGATTATAAATGAAATAAATAAATATAATGCAAATATTAAAATAATAGAATCAAGACAAAGGCTATGATAGGGAAGCCACAAAAGTTGAGAATGAGGACAAAAATTGGGAACGTGGAAAAGGAAAGAGGAAAAAAGTTGGGAGAAGGGGATGCAACCTAATGTTGCAAGCTAAAAAAATTGGCTTCTACGATAATGAGCTTTTCTTTCAGAAGCCAGATGAAAATGCAACTTTGAAAGTTAATCCAAACGAACTTCCATCTTCAATCACACCTGTAACTCGCGTTTTGCACATCCCAAGGCATGTTTTGAAGACAAAAGGTTGATACAAACACGAGTTGAATTTTGTGTATGAGTAAGGGTCCGGAGAAAATGGATGAGAAAGGAGGAAAAATTTTAGTAAACTCAATTTAAAAAATTAAAAAAATGATATTAAAAACTTTTAATTAATTTTTATTACTCTATTATATTATTTTTTTATTAAAATTTTAAAATCCCACTTTTTATTTTTTAAATAGATCTCATTAAAAAAAAAAATTCCTTCTTCTTCTCTACATGTCAAACACCCCTACTCTCAGTACCAAACCGTACCTAAACTTCGAGAATAGACAGACACATATAAGTGTGAGAATGACAGCGAATAATCTTGTGAACAATCAGAGACAATAATCTGTCTGAGAGACTGAGACGCATTTCTTTCTTTTCACCTTGAAATGTATTTTAAAAAAAGTGGTCCTAATTCTACTTTTTTACCCATAAAAGTTATTTGTAAAAATAATATAATCAATATTTCGTTCAGCAAAATGAAAACTCAAACTTAGCGGGATATATTGATTTAAAATGCTAATAAATAAATTCTCAGTAGTTATTAAATTTTCAAAATACTTTTAGAAGATATATGCTACCTTAGGTGGTGGTGGTGAGAGTGAAGAATAAATAAAGCTGCAAGATATTTTCATCTTAATATAACAAAAAATAATAAAAATATTTAAAAGATATATTTGTAATTTATAATACACGGTACCCACACATGTCATTTCTCTAATTTTAAATGGGACCTATCTGTCAGTTATGTTTGAATACTACTATTCATTTTCTTGAGTGGAATTAAATGAGATTCATATCATGCTGAACACAATTCATTTGATGAATGAGATGACTTCAAACAAAATTATAATAACTTTTGTTTTTAATATAAGATCCAGTTAACTAATTTGGAAAGGTTAAGAAAATTACTAAATTATTTAATTGTAGCATATGTTAAGTAATCTCTCTAAAATACTTAATCAATTGAGTCTTATATTAGAAAGACAAAATAATAATTTCTACAATCTCGCCTTCAATTCATTTTACAAAAAATAAAAAGAGACCCAGAAAAATAAGCGCACGCAGCATTATTTTCTCTCAGCACAATCATTAAGATCTCTTATCACTTTTTACCTACACAAAAAATTTGAATTGAAATGCAACAAATTAAACTTTCATAATGGCTATAAAATCAATATCTCCATACAATTTTCTTTCATTTAGAATCCCATGACTGAATTTAATTAAGGAACAAAGATAAAAAGTAAATTTAGATAATGCAATAGACGATGGATATTGTAATAAAGAAAAGCAAAGGGAAAAATGCAATGAGAGGAGAGAGACAGAGAAATTCATAGAAACGCGCAAAAAAAGTCAACAAAACTCAAAATGTCAGTCAACTTTATCTGTTATAACCCATTTATTGGCAACTTTCTGTTCACTTATTACAGGGGTAATAATTTTCCATTTATATTATATTTAACAGAAAATCTCTCGAGTACAGGCACAAATATACTCCTTCTGATTCAAAATATAAGCTAAACTTTATTAAAAAGGTTTAATTTTTTTATAAGATAACATTTACTTATGTTTACGCATTTAATGAGTTTTTTTTTCAATTTTACCTCCTATATTCTCTTTCCTCTTTGATTCATTTATTACATTTTTTTTTACTTATTCTCTTCATTAATAAGAGAATATTTGAAAAAATTTAGCTGGTATTTTGAACTGGAGGGAGTATATATATATTTATATATATGTATATTGAACATAATGCATGAACGCCACTTGTTTATTACTCTAAAGTCTCAAGTCATAATCTTACATGCATGCATGCGTGCCACTTGTTCATTTCTACACTACACAGCCATTTTATGTCTTCATCTTCTTCTTCCATATCAATTTCACTTTACTGTTATTGGATAATGCAGAAAAAATATAGCTTGAGGCAAACACAGAAACAAACAAGCACACAAACACTTATTGACACATTCATATTAGAAAAAGAAAATCAAACAAAATGATCGGATCTGGAATATGCCAGAGAAAATGTCGAAGAAAGATCGAACAAAAAGGAAAGAACAATGTGTATGCGTATGAATTTACTGAAAGTTGGAAACACAAATCATTTTGCATGCATGAGAGAGAAAAACTATGAGATCATAGAGATTCTCTCTGTCCCTCTATATATATTTCATGAGAAATCCTGCATGCAAGAAACGGTCAAATCCAGAAGGGCAAGACCTTGAAGTGAGAATAAACAGGATTGGGACCGACTTCGCCATAGAAGCAAACCTAATGACTGAGGCATTAGAGATTTTACCTGGAGAAGAAGTGTTAGGGAGCTTGCGATAGCCATGGAAACCTCCAGATTCCATTGGAGATACGCGAAGAAGAAGAAAAAGAGGAATGGGCGAAGAGGAGGAGAGGGATATCTGAGGAATTAGAGAGAGAGAGAGAGAATGTTAGGCGTTGGAGTTACTTGGCAAGTGTCTGTTATTTATAGTGCTGAAAATTGCAGGGATAACGTGTCGATGTGGGCGATGTGAACGAGGAAACCGGAAGTACCCGGTAAAGGGAGACTTCAAGCGCGATGGGGATGCTCAGGCGACCGACAGGCGTGGGTTGGAACATCAGTCACGTGAGTTGCCACGCATTGGTGGCGAGTTTCTTGCTTTCCCAAGCCGAAACTGAAACTTCACAGGGAAAGAGCCTATGAACGCTTTGACCAAAACAGAATGCAAACGTAAACATAGTGAGAGAGCTCCCGCGTGAAAAAACACTCCTCAAGAAACCTTGGCGCCCAATTGTGATTTCTCATTTTTCCCCCTCGAATTAATTTCTCTAGTTAGAGCAAAAAAAAGTTAATATATAAATATCCGTATAATTTTCTCTTATTTTTATTGTGATTTTTATAAATTTTTTATTTGATTCTTACCGTTTTCGTGATTATGCGAATTAATTTCCCTGTATATACTCATAATTTGTAAAGAATATCTTATTAAAAGAAAAGTGACAAAATAACAATAATGATAAGGGTCAAATTTGCACTCATTTTGGTTTTTTTTTAATTTCAAATTATTGGTTTTGGCCCTTCAAATGGTAAAATGATGGAAGTTTTTATTGGATTTTAGGAAGTAATGTTTTAAATGAAAAAGAAATTTAAGAAATCAAAATTTATGATTTAAAATTTGAGGGATTAAAACCAAAATAAATTAACCTCATAATAATAACTAAATAAACATAACACGCTCCCGTGGACTTCGTGAGCAAGTAGAGGAGCTTCCAGAACAACTGGAATTTTGCTGGTTAAAAGAAAAAAAAAAAAAAAAAAAGAACATCTGAAATTTTAAACCCCAGTGCCGGTCTCCCTCGTCCCTTCCATCCTCTATTGTTCAATTCTCCGCTACTGCGTTGTAGCGACTTAAAAAGAAAAGAAAAAAGAAAAAAAAGTTTATTATCAATAGAAAATTATTTTGTCACTAATTTCTGATAGATTACTGAAAAAAATTTTATCACTAAATTTACTGACAGATTAATGATGAAATTTTTTTAAGTCGCTAGTTTTGTCACAAGGTAGCCAAGAGGATGTTAGTCAACCCCAAAACATCTGAAAACATCAGTCAACCCCTTGAACTAAAATAAAATTAAAATTTAAGGATAAAATTATAATACTACCCCTCCTTTTTTTTGGGCGAGAGGATTTTTTAAAAAAATAAGGTGGCGGGGGTTTAACCCATAACCTCTTGGTACACCAAAAGTAATATGACTATTAAGCCAATCAAGTCATTTAATCATATAATGCAATATATATATATATATATACAAAACAAATATAAGTGTCCAAGTATAAATGAACAAGTGAAATTCAGCAATTCACAACAAAAATTCAACGATTTACAAGTAACATAATGAAATTTACAACCCCAAATACAACTGTTTATGTGTAAATGAATAAGTGAAATTTGAAGATTTATAATAAAAATTCATAGATTTATGACCCAAATTCACTGATTCATAAGAAACTTAAGGGAATTCGCAACCCCAAATGTAAGTATTTCAGTGTGAATGAACAAGTGAAATTTAACAATTTATAACAAAAATTTAGCGATTTACAAATCCAATTCAGAGATTCATGGAAAACATAAACATTACAAAACTTATAAATAATTCCCAACCTCAAAAGTTTTGCTAATTAAGGCATTGGAGTTTATAATCAGGGAGGCTTCATTTGGGTTATGAATTCCATTATGCTCCTTAGATGCATTATGCATTAATTTTAATTGTGCTTCAAATATATAGATTTATTTCTTTTTAACTTGTGAGTTTATTCATTATGATCTCTTAAATACATAGAAATTATGAGTTAATTATCAAAGGCGTCAATATGTGTGTGTGTGGAGCCAAAAGAAACAAAGACTGTACATGTATTATTGACAATATGTTGTCCACGTAACATTATTCATATTGCAAATCATATTTTCATATCTCATTCGTTGTGAAAAATTATAATATAATTACATTACAATGTATCTAATGAACACAAACTGGGTAAAAGAGCTAACTTGAGATCATTAGCATTATGAAGAAACAGAAATTAAATACAGGCAATATGTAATTAATTCTAATACGACATTACATATTCCTTTTTATTTGACTAAGCCTTAATTAGCAAAACTAAGAAAATGTCGGTCTTCACTTAATGTCACTGGAAGCAGTGAAGCATAGAAGCTCCAGTGCCTTAATTAGCAAAACTTTTGAGATTGTAAATTTTCTTATAAGTTTTGTAATGTTTATGTTTCCTGTGAATATCTGAATTTGAGTTGTAAATCACTAAATTTTTGTTGTAAATTACTAGATTTCACTTGTTCATTCACACTCAAACATTTACATTTGGGATTATAAATTTTTTTATATTTTTTTGTGAATTTCCAAATTTAGGTTATAAATATATGAATTTTTGTTGTAAATCTTTAAATTTTACTTGCTTATTCATACCTAAACACTTGTATTTAGGGTTGTGAATTCTATTATGTTACTTGTAAATCGCCAAATTTTTGTTTGAATTGCTAAATTTCACTTGTAAATTGCCATTCACTTGTTTATTTACACTTGGACACTTGCATTTGTTTTGTTATATATATTTTTCTTTGCATTATATGATTAAATGGGTTGGTTGGTTGGTTTGGTAGTCATAGTACTTTTGTTGTGCCAAAGGGTCATGGATTCTAACCCCCTTAACTGCCTTATTTAAAAAAAAAACAAAAAAAAACCCTCCTACCACCGTGGCTCCAACCTCCGCCCTCCAGCCACCTGAGCTCCGGCAGTAAGACCTTTAACCTCTAGTACAGGAACTCTGACAACCATTAATATTTATTTTTTAAAAAAATAAAAAGGAGGGGTAGTATTTTAATTTTATATCCTTTAATTTTAATTTTATTTTGTTCCAAGAGGGTTGATTGAAGTTTTCAACTATTTCAGGGATTGATTGATATTAATTGGCTACAGTGGCCGTTAAATGAAATTTTCCCCATTAAAAGATATAGGGGCATTTTCATGGATAAGAGGTGATTTAAAATGCCATTCTACATTTCTTTCCTCTAAAAGACAAAAGATATACTATGCTACAAAACCTATATTATTATACTTCCTGAACCGGTTTAAAATATAAGTATCAAAACTTTAAAGGGGTTTGTTTTTTTTTTAATATTATTTTATAAGCTACAATTTGAATTTGTCTAATCATTTAATACATTTTTTCATTTTATCCCTAATTAATTATAGACCTCTCTTATCTATTTTTTCAATCATTCTCTTTGATCTCTTCTCTCCTACTTACACTCTCCACAAATATGGGTGCTTTAGAAAAATAAGTTATAATTTTTTTTTTTACATATTTATACTCTTTACATAATTTTAACTAACTTAAAAAAGTTGTGTAAGTTAATTATTTGATACTTATATTTTGAACCGGATCAAGTAACATTTATTTCTAAATGACGCAATAAATCAAAGAATCTACATTGGTTGTCTTCATAACCGATATAAATACTTGCTATGTCATTTTTTATTTAAATGACATATTAAGCCTCATATTCTAAATCAAATTTTAATCAACTGACATATTTAACCCAATATTCATAATTTTATACATAAAATTGTCATCGTGTTTTTTTTTTTTCGCCTTTGCTATGTTGCTTTCTTAAACTTACTGATGTAGAATAGCATAATAAAATCATTTTCATGTGGTAGTGAGAACTTTTCGAAGAAGTCATTTAATGCAGTTAATGAATTTTATATGACAGTACATGTACTGCGTGATGCTGCATGTACGACAAAGAGAGACATGAATGAGTATTCATTTCTCAATTTTGTTTTGTAAATCATCGCATAAAGAAAAAGAGAGATTGGATGAGATTCATTGAGTCCGGTACACTCTTTCCTCCAGTTTTCCAAATTTATAGAACTTTTAGTCAGCTATATACGATGAGATAATAAGGAGGTATATATATAGTGCTGAATTTTTTTTAAAAAAAATTAATTATTTGGGCAATTCTCCATCTCTCTAATAATTCTAAGATGGACATGCACTCACCTATTAAATGTTAGAGAATCCTAATACTTTAATAAGTTTAAAATGTTTACACAATTTACAAAAAAGAAGATACACAGAATCAAAGATTTAAATGGGAATTAAAAGCTCTGCTGGATAAATACAATTAATTAATGAAAATTTGAATTTATACCCTCAAATTGAATGGTCAAGAACATTACCGTTCTTCAGCATCAACCAGTCCTATCTATAAAACCACGAAGATTTGGTCATGGCGAGTCCCAAAGGAAGCAGAAACTTTACTCAAACGAAAATGGACAGCAACAATAATTGTTGCGCCAACAACAAACTTGTGGCATCTGTACTTATGGTTTTGCTCCTTCTTTCTGCTATCATTGGTTTTCCTTTCTTCATGAGTCCAGAACCTTCTTTGTTTTGGCTTCTTTGGTTTTCCTTTTTCCCTATTTTTACCTTCTTCTATGCCGTTTACCTGGTAACTTTTGTTTGGCGATGAAAGTTTCTCTTGCATAAGTTTGAGGCACTTTGGTAATTGTCTCCAAAAAATGGTGAACTGCATGCTTGGCTTTTATATATATATATATATATTGAGGAATTGCTGAAACAATTAAAGAGGAGGTAACAGTACTTAATTTTGATGTCTTAGCTTCCTTCAGTTTTTTTTTTTTTTAATTTTGGCCAACCTTAGCTTCCTTCAGTTAGATCTATATGTAATTTTTTTTTTCTGGTATACGTTTGAATCCAGAAAAATCAGACAGAGGCAGAAAGAATATGTGTGTGGATTAAAATTCAAATAAAAGAAGGCGA